ACCTCGTGCTGAGTCTCAGCTGCCCCAGCCCTGGGGGGCCCAGGGCTTCCCTACTGGACAACGCAGCTCTGCGTAAAGCTCACAGCTTCTGCACACCAAACTTCATCTTATACCTTCTGGAGGAACATCTTTTTAAAGTATAGTTTCCTAGGATGCCTGTGTGGCTCAGTTGGTTAAGTGTCTGCCTTTGGCTCAGGTCATAATCTCGGCATCCTGGGATCAAGCCCCACATCGGGCTCTCTGCTCAGTGGGGAGTCTGCTTCTCCCTCAGCCTCTGTAACTCCCGACCCCCACTCATGCTTTCTCTCAAATAAATATATCTTTAAAAATACATATATAGTTTCCCTAAACTTAAACAGAGAATACTCCATTGCATTTTATTTTTCTTTAGTGACCACACCCCCACCAAGACAAGCATTTATCCCTGTGTGCTCTTGGGGTCTTCTGCTTCTCCATTTTCTGCCTGGTAAAGGCAGAAATGAGTGAGGTTATCAGTGACAGTCCCCGCAGGCCACCTGGAGGGCCAGGGGACAGGGACCCAGATGACCCGCTGTTCCTGTTGCAGCTTACCAGATCAAACTCCCGAGTGGGGCTCCAGCCCCTCGTCTGCAGCAGCTCCACACCCCGATTCCATGGGAAACCCAAGGCCAGTTCACCCAAACAGCCTCAAACCGCCATCACAACGCTAGGCTACCACAGGCCCCCAACTGATCACTCTGATGACTCTCCTCATTTTCTCCCCCCTATACCCTGCCCAAGCTCTGTGTGGAGAGATTCTGTGCACGTGGCCTCAGAGCTTTTGGGTCTCTGATGGCCTCGGCCTCTTCGCCACTGTACACTCCTGTCATGGCCTCTCATGTGCCCAGCTCCCCTTCAGTGCCTCCCCACCAAACCCCCTTCCAGGCTGCACTCTCCCCTCCCTGGGTATCTCCCCAGGGCCTCTGTGTCCTCATATTCCGGTTGCCATCTGCCCAACCCAGGAGACCCAAGGCCTAAGCACTTGAGAAAACCTCATGGGACCCAGCACTCCATGCACACCACTCCTATCCCTGTGCTTGGGGCTTCCTCCCCACCTCCCTTGGAACCCCTCTATGCCAGTGCTCCCGGTACTAAGCCCACAGTACCCCTTGACTCTACCCTCCCCTCTTCTTTCCCCTCAACCCCAAGCTCAGGCCTGTTGCCACAGAGGCCTGGGCCTGCACCTCTGGCTGGAGCCCTCCCCACTCCCCCCAACTCAAAGGGCTACAGGGAAACAGGACTCTGATTCCGGTTAACACTTGCTGTTCCAGCAAGGCCAACTACACTGGCTTCTTCCCATCTCTGTCACCTTTGATTGATCCAGCCTTCTCCCTCCCTGGAAGGAAGACTTGTCCATCTCACAGCCCCTGAGTCCTCAGCCCTGAGAGCCAGCTTGGCACCCAGCCACTGGGTGAGCAAGCAGCAACGCCCCCTCAAATGAGGAGGGCTGTCCCCAGTATCTCCCTCCTTCTGTCCACTGATTCTTCAACTCAGCCTTATAGTCTATGCATGTCTGCTTGGACCTGCCCCTTGGCCCTCCCCAACCTGGCCGGCCTGAGCTCCAGACGGCATCCAAAACAGCAAGGTGGGTGATGTGCAGAGGGACACGGAGAGGACAGCCAGGGCACCTGTGGGATCTCAGGCCCTCACACACCGCTGGCTCTGGGGCTCCAGCCTCATCACATGTGGCAATCCCTGGAAGGTACCCTTGCCAAAGGAAACAGGCAGGAAAGGGCAATCACAGGTTATACTCTAGACTACCTGCCCGGGTGGGTGATGGCATCTCAGAGGCCAAGGCATTTCTCACAGCTAAGGCTTTACTCTCTATATGAAAGTAAAGGCTCCTGGTCCTCTGCCTCTTGTCCTCCTCTGGGGTGAGGGCACCTCCACAGAGCACAAGTCTCACCTAGCAGAGCTGGCCCCTAGGGAGTGGAGGGCACTGGTCCCATTCTGGAAGTACTGCAGGTTGTCTCTAATAAACTGAGCCACAAAATCGCGTCCCGGCTTCTAAGTTGTGTGGCAGGAATGCCCCTTAAGGTCCTGTCCTAGCAGCTCATCGAAGCTGCTTTAACAAGCTCCCCTGATCTGGGGGCCACAGCAGTTTCCACAGAAACTAGAAAGAGCACCAACCCCCAGAGATAAACCAATAAACGCAACCTGCAAAAGGAGAGAACAGGCAGCAAGAGAACCGGAGGGAACCGGGGGGCCCTGGAGAGAGAGGCGGGTGCGTGGCAGCTGGGCCGTGGAGCAGAACCGGAGAGGCCGCAGGCCGCGGGGCCGAGGAAAAGGAGGGCCTTGCAGGGGGACTACAGTTCTTGGCAGAGAGAAAGGAGGCCTCTGGAGGTCAGAGAGAGACACAAAGAGAGTAGACAGAGCGTGGATCAGTTAGGAAGCCTGCGCTCCAGTGCCCAGGGCCTCTCAGGACAGGGGGCATGGGTACCCAGGGCCCTGGCACTTCCCCCCATGGGGGCCCAGCCTGCGCCCAACCCGAACAACAACCCCCTCTCAGGACATCTGTGAGAGCCTGAGGGCTTCTGGCCAAGCATCCAGAGTGTTTCTGAAATTGGGAGCAGATGCGACACACCAAGGGGATGCAGTTGGACCTCCGCTGTGACTCCCTTGTTAGCAGGAGTAAGGTACCTGCTTACCCCCCACCCTGGTTGTGACTCTCAAGAGTGAGGAGGCCCCTGAAACTTGTGCCCACTCAGGCCTCTGCATTCCATGTGTCTAGGGCAGCCCAGGGCTGCCACACGGACCCCTGTCCCAGGATCTGAGGAAGAAAGCTTAGCTGGCTACATTCCTGAGCAGACCTGGGCCCCAGTGGGGTGCAACCAAAGAGGGGGCAGGAAGGCCTCTGCCTGACCCACTCCCTGAGCATTTTTCTGGAGGCTTGTACACACCTTGAAAACAGGAACCCAAACCACCTTGTTCCTGTCTTTGTGGAATGAAAGCACTTCTACCCAAGGAGATAGGCAGAATCCTAGAGGAGGCCTCGCCTGCTTGGGCCACTCTGGACACCCAGCTTGCAACCGCCTGATCTGGACCTGCACATGTGCACTCTCAAGGGTAGCAACGATGCCAAAGCTGGGGACAGGACACCAAGAGGGGAGCCCCTGGGTGGTCCCTGCGGTCCGGGGAGAAGACCCCCAGTAGGACTGGGCCACTCAGGGCCAAGCCCGCATTGCGCCTGGCGCTGCCCACTTCCCTCCCCTGCCACCCACCGCCTGAACCGCAGGGGCAAGGGAGCACCGGGTCCAGCTCTGACCTCGGGTCTCGGGCACGCTCGATGTGGGCAGAGACACGGATGTAGGATCCTGGGCCTCGCCCGCCAGCCTCTGCCCAGCACACATGGACTTGAGCATCTGGAAGACGGCGAGGGGAGCCACGTTCAGCTTCAGCAGGTCCACCAAGATCCTGGAGAGAACACAGGTGGTGGGCAGTGAGCTCCCCTCGCCCGGGGCCTAGGAGGGCCACCTCCCTCAGGACTCCGATTCTACTCTGGGCACCCAAAGGGGTCCGAAAAGGGCGGGAGGTCTCCTCCAGACCAAAGGCCGGGGCGAGGAGCGGGAGAGCAGGGGCGTCTGGGGGTGGGACGAGCGCGCACTCCCGCCCGCGCGCGCTCACTTGAACACGTCGGGGTCGATGGCACCGCCCGCTGCCTGCGCCAGCTCGTACAGTTCCATCTCCTCGGCGCTCAGCACCTTCTTCCGCCGCAGCGCGAGCTTCTGCAGAGCAGCCTCTAGCCCCGGGGGCGCTCCCGGCCCGGGCCCCGCGCCCGCCGCCGCCATGTAGCCGGCCTGCAGGAAGGTGAGCGCCGCGCTCGCGGTTGTGCCCCGGCCCCCGCCGCGCCCTCCGCCGCTCCCACAGCGCCCTCTACTGGCCCCCGCCGGCCCTTCCTCTCCCCGCCTTGCGGCAGAGGGCAGGGACAGGTTTGTCTTCTCTCTGCCATTCGATCCGCATTTACCTGCGGGATGAGAAGGGATACAAGCAGAAAAATGTTCATCTTTACCCCGAAAGCTGACCTGTAACCTGCATAGTTTTGATAAGGATCAACTAAGTACTGGCTGCTACATTCTTAAAGGGTCTCATGATTGCCTGTACATCTCAAAGTTAATAGAGAGCTGAAGGATAAGCAACAGAGTAATCTTGACGAAAGTAGCTTTAGGACTAGAAATTCCAAGAAGACATTTATGATCTATTACTCCCCGCACGGCTCCTACGCCTGGAACACTTAGCATATAACCACCAGCTTCATACAGCAAAAGTAGTTTCTGCCTACAGGTCCTGTCCCTGTGCTACTTGAATGAACTTACTAAGTTGCAACATAGTCTCAGAATACTTTCCTGGGGCGCCTGGGTGGCTCAGTGGGTTAAAGCCTCTGCCTTCAGCTCAGCTCATGATCCCGGGGTCCTGGGGTCGAGCCCTGCATCGGGCTCTCTGCTCAGCAGGGAGCCTGCTTCCTTCTCTCTCTCTGCCTGCCTCTCTGCCTACTTGTGATCTCTGTCTGTCAAATAAAAAATAAGTGAAATCTTAAAAAAACAAAAAAGAATACTTTCCTGACGGCTGCACTCAGTGGTCCCACAATAGGGAGATGTGTTAGGCATGGGGGATACTGAGGCGGGCCGCAGAGACACATTTCTGGGCGTTCAGGGTCAGCCTTCATTGGTCATTCTCACTTGGGCAGCAGCACCCAGCGCAGTGCTTGGAATATAGTAGGCGCTCCATAAATGCCTGTCGGAAAGTCAGTCATTGCGGTGTATAATTATTCTGCGCCGGTTCCCCATTAGGGGGCGCACCTCCAGGACCCTAATAAACAGCTTCTCTTGTCGCGCATGCGCGCTCCTTACAGCTCCCACATTCGGAGAACTCAGGGTTAAAGAACACTGCTGCTGCCGCTGCGCACGCGCCTTCGGAGATGTAACCCCCTAAACCCTGCAGGCCTTCATTTTGCGCATGCGCCTTTTGCGATAACTGCTCGCAGAGTTGGAAGTGCGTTTCCCGCCAGGGTAGGGGAGGCGTGATGCCAGGAGCAGCTTGATGACGACATTTCGGCGCCGGGTAGCCGAATGGCGGTCTCCGTCCCTTAGGCACGGGACTTTATGGGTCCCACAGGTGAGTGGTGGGAGCCGCGTGCGGGACGGTCTCATGTCCTGGCGATACCCCGAATCTCTGCCGAAGCCATCTCTGTTCCTACACGAGCCGTAGGCCTCAGACCGGACGTTGGTGTCTGTGTTCCGAGCCTGGCCAGCCGGCCGGCTGGGAAGCCAAGGGCCGGGCTGCGCCCTCATGGCCATCTTCCAGGGCTGCGCCCTCATGTCACCTTCTCGTGCGCCTCGCACACACCATCCTGGTGGGTGCTCGGTTAACGTTCGTTGAACGGAGTTGGCGGAGGGAGAGATTCGAGTTAAAGTTGAGCCTTAGGCTCAACAAGCTGTGTGGGAGGAAGATCCGAGTGTGGATTCTCACCCGACTCTTCTTCCCGGTGTGGGTCGAGCTTCCTGAGCCTCAGTTTCTTCATCTGTAATATGGAGATCTCGAGGCTCACTTCACAGGGCAGTTGTGAGCGGCAAAAGGGAGCATCTTTTGCTTCTCAGCAGCCAGAGGGAGACCGTGGCAGTAGTGTGATTTGTTTGGCGTGATCGGTGTTGCCACTCCGAGAAGAAACCTCAAAACAAGATCCGAAGCAGCCACTGAATAAAGTGGCCGTGAAGTGGCGGATGAAAGGAACACTTTGTACATAGCGGAGAAGATTGTGATGGAGGAGCCTGGCTGTGGCAGGGTTAGAGAACAGGGCGTTAAGAGACACTGCCCTCTCCCGGAAAGACTCCTTGGTTTGGCGCCTCTAGCCCTCAGTCCTTGAGCTGATGCCAGTGCAGGCTTCCACCTCATGATCTCTAAAGCTCTGCCCTTTGCAAACAGGCCAGGACTTTATGCTGCTTTGATAATTTTACTTTGATTATGCTATTCTCTTGGTTCAGGACTGAGGCCTTTTAGGTCTTCCTTAAAACTGAATCTGATAGCCAGTGTCATGAAGAATTGAAAAAACCGAGGATGTTGTTTCTATTGCCAAGAGACAGAGACGCACATCTCTCGGTTCCTCCACTGCCTCACAGCTTCCCTGCCCCTGGTCTTTCCTCAACCACATGCACTTCCATTTGCCACCTCAGCACACTTAGTCATGCTGTGGGCAGAGCTGTGCCAGGAAGACCATCATCGGTGGGACTCAGCGGTCTCTGTTTCTGTTCATTCCACGTCTGGATAGTTTCAGTTTCTGAACTGGGTGGGCAGAGAGATAGGAATCTAGAGAGTTGCTCCTGATTTTCTGATGGCTGGCTCAAAAAATCCCTCGGCTGCGCTTGCTGATCCCTTCCATTCATTCCACTCGTTCTCGTAGAGCACAGTGACGTACTTGTCTTTATGGAACATGTGTTAAGAGGTCCATGTATTTCAATCTTGGTTCTGCCATTTACCAGCTAAGTGAGGGCATGTGATTACCTCCTCTTTGCTTCCACTTCTTTTTTTATCCCTATTGACCTTGCAGGGTTGTTGTGAGGATATATATTTTCTATTCTTCCTTAGCAAACTTAGCAGCTTGAAACTGCATCTGCTTATTATCTCACAATTATATAGTCCAGAAGTCTACACAGGCTCCACTGGGTTCTCTGCTTAGGATATCACAAGATTGAAATGGAGCTGTTGGTTGGCTTTGTTCTTACCTAGAAGCCCTCAGAAAGAATCTTTTTCCGAGCTTATTCAAGTTGCTTGCAGAATCTAGTTCCCTCGGGTTGCACAACTAAGGTCCCCGTTTCCTTACTGGCCAGCAGCTGGCAGTGCTCTGTATCTTGTGGTCCACCCCCTTGAGACTTCAGTCTCATCTGTCAGATTCCTTCGTAACCCCTACATGAGTGTTTGACTGAATACCCAAGGATAGGAATCTTGGAGGGCTGTCTTTAAAATTCTGCCAACCCCAGAGGATTAAATGAGGAAATATATGGCGGTATCCTAGAAGCAGGTGTGGCCCCTAGCAAGTGCTGTACAAACGTCACCAAGGATTTGCCAGTGCAGGCTTGGCTCTGAAGCTGGCCATTATGGAATGTGTCAAACTGGCATTTCTTTTTTTTTGTTTAAGATTTTTATTTATTTGAAAGAGAAAGAGAGCAAGTTTAGGCACAGAGGGAGAGAGAGAAGCAGAGTCCCCTCTGAGCAGGGAACCTAAGACGGGGCTCCGTCCTAGCACCCGGGGATCACGCCCCAAACCAAAGGCAGATGCTTAATCAACTGAGCCACCCAGGTGCCCCTGGACTGGTATTTCTTTTTTTTTTTTTTTCTTTGACAGAGATCACAAGTAGGCAGAGGGTGGGGGGGAGGCAGGCTCCCCACTGAGCAGAGAGCCCGATGCGGGGCCCGATCCCAGGACCCTAGGATCATGACCCGAGCCGAAGGCAGAGGCTTTAACCCACTGAGCCACCCAGGCACCCCTAGACTGGCATTTCTATAAAACCTGGCATTTGGCAGTGCGGAGTGTGTTGAGTTCTACAAATACTCTCTTGAGCCTTGTGAGGCAATGTAACATTCTGTTGTGTGGCGGACATTGAGATGTCACCTTTGTTTTTTCACAGTGGTTTCCTAAGACGGCCGTTGTCTGCGGGTCCCGGGAGGTTGCAATGGCATTCCCTCACCTGCAGCAGCCCAGCTTTCTGCTGGTAAGTACCACCTGCCTCCGGGAACGTCAGCCTGATGATAGGTCTCTAGCCCAGGGACTTTCGAGTTCTTTCCCCTGACCTGAACTGTCTGCTGGTAGTTCTTTGAGGGGATGCCAAGGAAGCTGGCCTGGGGGTTAGAATCCTTAGACTTGACTCTGCCCCCTACTGGGCAGGACATTAGGTTTACTCTACCTCTGAGCCTTGGTTTTCTCACCTACAAGATGAGTTTCTCACCTCCAAGCTAAGTTGATTCAAATGCAGTTTTCATGACTTCCTGGGGCCTGGGAAGGCTCATGTGAAAGGATATACATCAGAATTTTTGCATCTTATAGGGGCGCCTGGGTGGCTCAGTGGGTTAAGCCCCTGCCTTCGGCTCAGGTCATGATCTCAGGGTCCTGGGATCGAACCCCGCATCGGGCTCTCTGCTCAGCAAGGAGCCTGCTTCCTCCTCTCTCTCTGCCTGCCTCTCTGCCTGCTTGTGATCTCTCTCTGTAAAATAAATAAATAAAATCTTTAAAAAAAAAAAAAGAGAATTTTTGCATCTTGTAAATCTTTACATGCTTCACGGGGTATTCTAATAATCCCAGCTGTTATCCTTAGAAAATGGCGTGACTACACTCTCAGCATTAAACATGATGCTGGGAAGTTATGTTTGAGGCAGATAGCCATGGTGAGGATTCCTTATTTCAGTTCCCGGAAGATACTTTCTGTAAACATTCATTTAGAAGGACATGCTTCCTTAGTGCCCCTTCTAGAGTCAACACTTGCAGTGCTCCTGGAATCCAGTGGGTAGAGGCCAGGCATGCAGGGAGTGTTCCCACAACGCGTGGCACAACATCCCAGATCTTTATCTTTGCGATATCATCCTCATTTGGAGATGGCTAAGGCCTTCGATTTCCTTGGGCATAGCCGTTTTGGTTCAGATTCTGGCATTTTTTCCTGATCTTCATCCACACCCCATGATCTTGGATAGATTTCTTTCCTTCTTGTCTTAAATATTTCCTGGCCTGTTCAGTGCCTTCATGATTAGTGTCAACATTTGGTTGAAACCGTCTGTTGTTTCTAGCCTGCCTTGTTTCTTAAGGTAATGAATTCATTTGGCCCGTTATCTGCTGAACACCGGATTGCTTGGTTAAGAGGGCTTCTGCTCTCTCCCTTGTTTTGTCAGGCATCCTTACTGATGATCACAGTTGTGTCATCACAGGGAAATTTCCAGTTTGTGTGCGTGTACACTCAGGGAGTACGCTGTGGTCTGTGAGCGGCGCCCTACACAATAAGGGTCCTCTTCTGGCTGTGGGGCTGACCCTGGAACTGAGACCCTGCTCTGGATTGGGTGGAAGTCACTTCTGTTGTGAAATTGTGTAGTACCCTGCTGTAACTGGGGATGCCTGACAGAGGGTGCAGGGAAGAAGCCTGAGAGTTGGCTGTCTGGAGAGCAAAGGACCCCTACCTCTCCCAGTTGCATCCTTTAGGCCACTGACACACGCATGCCCTGATGCACAAGATGTTGGGGAGCCATGCCCATGGTGTGTCTGACTCCTGCCTTTCACTCAGGTTTCAGTTTTGATTCAAGCCAGTTGGCAAAAAAGCTGCTAACTGAATGTGCTTATGATTTGTTTGGTTTATTCTGTCTTCTAGGCTAGCCTGAAAGCTGACTCTGTAAATAAGCCCTTTGCACAGCGGTGCCAAGACTTGGTTAAAGTCATTGAGGATTTTCCAGCAAAGGTACAGTTCCGCTAGCATCTCTTTGGGTCATGTCTCGTATACTCTTTGAAAAAACATTCTTATGGCCCCTGATTCCCAACTCTGAGCACTGCTCTGCACAGAGGCATGACCCAGTATTGTGACTGTCACCTTTATGGACACATTTAAACATGTCAGCATGTACACCAGGGGTTCTAAGCCACAGGTGCTTCTGTCCTGCACGGGACATTTGACAACGTCTAAAGATATTTTTGGTTGTCACACAGGGGAGGGTGTTACTGGAATCGAGTGGGCAGAGGCCAGTGTTGCTGGTACGTTTCCCAAATTACGCAGGACACTCCACCTCAGCAAAGAAGTATCCAGCCCAAAAGATTGAGAAACCCTGGTTTTCACCCTGAAAATGTGTATTTTATTTAAGTCCTACCCAGAATTACCAAGTAGTAAGTGTAAGCCCAGGAAGCCAGCCTGGTCAAGAATTCTCACCCTGGAAATTTCCACTTCGTGTGTACACACTCAGTGAAGAAGGTGGACAGCTTGGGGTGTAGGGCTGGACTGGGCAGGAGGCCTGCATGGCACACAGCCCAGCAGTGGGCACTGGGCCTCAGCAAGCCTACCCAAAGCCTCCCCTGCACACCGTTTTAGGAGCTGCACGCCATCTTCCCATGGCTGGTGGAGAGCATTTTTGGCAGCCTGGATGGTGTCCTTCTCGGCTGGAACCTCCGCTGTTTGCAGGGACGCATGAGTCCTGTGGAATACAGCATTGTAATGGAATTTCTAGACCCCGGGTAGGTAGGTTTGTCACCTGAGAGGGGCTGGATGTTTCCTCATGGTGATCCCGTTCTTAAAACACTATATTCCTCAAAGTAAGAAGAAAGGTGGTTTACAGCTCATTGCCCTTTTTCTGTTGGTTTAATTTCATGGTCAGTGGCCCAATGATGAAGTTGGTTTATAAGCTTCAGGCCGAAGATTATAAGTTTGACTTTCCCGTCTCCTACCTGCCTGTAAGTAAACCGTGGGATGAACTTCATGCTCAGGACAGAGCGCCCTGCACAGTGGCTGCCGTGGTGCGGGTGGGGCAGGGCTTGGGGGGCTGCGGCTGTGGGCAGGAGAAGACCATGGTGTCTGCTCAGGGTCTGGGAGGCATCATTCCCGACTTTTGCTCAAGGAGAAGGCACAATGCGACCTGGTTTGTCCCTGGCTGAGTGGCAGGTAGGGCTGTGTGACCAGTTGCTCTGTTTTTCTGAGTTTGCAGTCCTTCAGGGGCAAATTGAGGGGAGGGTAACTTTCTTGGTGGGTATGGGAAGCAAAGAAGAGGGGGAACATGAAGCCTTTGATGAGGCTCAGAAACTCACCCAGCTGCTGCCCTTGCTGTTTGAGGGCCTTCCTGAGGATAGCATGAGCAATTCTGAGTGGAGGCCCTCTTATTCCAGCGCTACCGGGAGGACAGCTCTGCTCCCCCAGGCAGGGTCCGTGTGCTGGTCGCCCCCGCGGCAGCCTTTCCCAGAGGCTGCACCACGTGGGGGTGCCCTGTGGAGCCTGCCCACAAGCCCAACGCCCTGTCTCCGTAGGGCCCCGTGAAGGCATCCATCCAGGAGCGCGTGCTCCCTGACAGCCCTCTGTACCACAACAAGGTCCAGTTCCCCCCGACAGGGGGCCTTGGCCTGAACTTGGCCCTCAGTATCCTTTGTCAGTCCCCCAGGACTGGGGAGGCCAAGGGGGTCTGGGACACAGTGCTGGGGGTGGCCCGATAACCCTGCCCGTTTGCCTCCTGACGCTGCCATCAGATCCGTTCGAGTACTACATGTTCTTCTTTGCTTTGAGCCTCATCACTCAAAAGGTACAAGAGGGGTGCCCCTGAGCAGCTTTTTCCCAAAGCCCCCGGGGGTAGGGGCTGTGGCTAGGACTTTCTTTACCTTCCATTTCTTCTCCCTTCTCACCTCATTTCTCCGGCTCCTCCTCTGCATCCTCCTCCAGCCTTTGTTCTTCAGACCATCCTCACTTAGGATGACAGGCCGGTGGGCACACTTGACAGGCAACATAGGGTGACCTGCGCACCCCAATTGGTGGTTGGGGGGGCTTCCTACAGGAAGTGCTTGCTGGGCACGGGGGCAGAGCACAGGTGCCCAGGAAGCTTGCATGCTTCCCTGGCGGTGGGGAGGAACTCATCTCCCGGTACTGCCCAGGGTGCTTTGTTCCAGCCCCTGGGATGTAGCCTATGTCTAGAGCTCATGTGCAGTGACTTGCGCCCTGAGGCTGCTGGGGTCCGCAGCCAGGGGTGGCACCCAGAGCCACGCACCAACTCAGATTTGCTTTTCCAGCCACTCCCTGGGGCTCTCCACATACGAACTTCAGACTGTGCCTATTTCATCCTCGTGGACCGGTACCTGTCATGGTTCCTGCCCACAGAAGGCAGTGTGCTCCCCCCACTCTCCTCCAGTCCTGGGGGACCCAGCCCCTCACCAGCTCCCAGGTAAGGCTCTCTGGCTGCCCTGGCTATTGGCTTGGGGTGCCCCATCCCTGCGGCCAGCCTGTAAAGTCTGGCCCTTCTGCAGGGGAATGGCCTGGGCAGTGGGCACTACTCACAGGGACAGTAGTGCCACTCTTTCTTCAGGGTGCCCCAACCCCAACAGCCCTGGCACAGACCGGAGGAGGGCAGGGTGAGGACAACATCCGTGCCTGGGTTTTCAGTGAGCAGGTCCTGTGGCCCTATGGACAAGGCCTGGCTTTGGTTTCAGAGTGGGCTGTGTTCTCCTCCCTGCATGTGGCATCCAAGCCCCACAGGGAAGTGGTGGCAGGGGGTTCGAAGCAATGTTGCCAGAGCTGATCAGTGGCACTGAGTGGGTGGTGCTGGAGAGAAAGGGCCTGTAGGCAGGTCACCACAGAGCTGACGTGTGGAGGAATAAGAATAGGAGGAATCTGTCAGACCAGGTCTTGGCCTGAGCCAGAGACCCTGGGGTAAAGAGCCTTTTGTGCCCATCCAAGCAAGCTGGGCGGTGGCTGGACCGTGTGCAGGAAGGGCGTGTGCAGCCAGCCTCAGCCCAAGAGGGAACTGAAGCCATGGGCGGCCTTTAGCCAGGAACCAATTGGCCGCCTCTCCCCGGGTGACACTAATGACCCAGGAGCTGCCCCCTATGCTCTTTACCCTCCTCAGCCTTGCTGGTGGACCTTTTTCCTGGGGAGGTTGGTTCTTTCCTGCCAGCACAGGAATGCCCCCGAGGAAAGGGGATTGAAAGGGGGACATGGGGGTGTGGAAGGGGGAGAGGCTGCCCAGGCATTGGTAATGCTGCGGCTGAGAAGGACCCAGGGTGGCCAGGTTCACGCCCTCTCAGAGGCAGGCTTCCGGGCCTGGTTTTGTTGGCTTATTCTAATCTAGAATTTCTGACCCAAGACTTGCCATGAATAACAAAAAACTTCCATAAGGTCCTTCGCCTACGTTTCTGAGTTGTTTTACTCTCTATCTGTATGTGTTTTTTCTGGGTCATTTGAGTAGGTTACAGACATGGTGCCTGCTATTTTGTTAACATTTCGGAATATATTTCCTAAAAGCGAGTGCATTCTCGTACACGGCCACTGCGCGTTTACCCGAATCAGAAGATCAGCATTGCTGCCAGGCCACTACCTCATCCTCAGACCCCACTTGGGCTGCCCTGGCTATCTTTCTAGGGTCTGCTAGCCAGCTGGACTGGGGTGTGAAGAATGCCCTCATCTTGAGTTCTCTGATGTTCCCTAGCGAGTAGGCCTGGCAGCCGTGGAGTCTGTGTGCTGGTGACGTTGTCTTGATCACTGGGCCAGGGGCATGTTGGCCAGGTTTTCCTCCTGTAAAATTAAGTGGGTACTTTGTGCCAAATTAATTAGCAAGAGGGATTTGTTGGGAAGATAACGCTGAGCCTGTGTGATTATCAGCAGTGTTAGTGTCCCTTGATTATTGCCGGCCAAATCAGTTATTAATAGGCTGGTTGCCTAAGGGCGATTGTCTGCTTTCATCCCTTTACATTGATCAGGGCATGCTCTGCGGTAGGGAAGTCTTTTCCCGCTCATTGATTGTGTATGTCCATATGGATTTGGGGGCCATCCTATGATTCAGCAGGTGGTAGTGGCTTCCATTGCCACTGATGTTCACATTCAGATCACCACTGGTTGTGCCGGCAGGAGCCCCTAACGAAGGCCTGTTTCTGTGTGTCCCTCAGGACACCAGCCATGCCCTTCGCTTCCTACGGCCTCCACCACACCAGCCTCCTGAAGCGACATGTCTCTCATCAGACGTCTGTGAATGCAGACCCCGCCTCCCATGAGATCTGGAGGTCCGAGACACTACTCCAGGTGAGAATGAGGAGGCTCTTTATGTCTTCTGTTTCCAGGTAAACTGCCTGGCCACCTTTTGTCCCAGGGGGCAGAGGCCTAAACACCATCCGCAGCCTGAGAGCACCTCTGAATTGTTGGTGTTTTCCTGCTGTGACATGTAGAAATCAGACTAGAGGAAATGTGCCCACCCCTGAATGTCACTGGTAGTGCTTTCCATCCCAGGATTCACTGGCCTTGGAGTTTTGTCTTTCTCATGGTGGTGTGAGTGCTGCTTCGTTTCTAGTGGATCCGCATGAAGGCTGGCCCCACACTGCACGTCTCCGACCTGCTCTCACGTTGCTGGAGAGGTTTCCTGTGATCACCCTCATTTGGATATGAAGCCCCTGCCCCCGTAGTGTTTTTATAACACTGGCTGGAGAAGGCTTGCAAAGCCTCTCACCTTGGTTGGCCAGCAGCCCCTATTCCTTCTGGGTTGGGGGATCCACATGGGAGGCGGTAGGGCCCCTTGTCTGCCCCCGAGCAGGCTCCAGCCTCTCACGCAGGTTTGGGCTGGCTCCCTCCCAGGGTGCAGTGCTGCCCACCTCCCGGGCCAGGCTATCTCTTCCAAATACACCGTGGAGAGGTTCAGCTGGTTCTGATGCTCAACTCTGCAGCAGAGTTGGTAGCCAGGAACATCACTTACAGGCAGCCTGACAGGTGGATAAGATGGGATTCTGTCCTTCCTGCCTTGTACATAACTCCTGGTATTTGGGCTGCTGCACTTTCAGTGGCCTCCATGTCATTGTTGAGACAGCACAAGGAGATCAGACGGCTGGACTCATCGTCCCTGGTCGCAGAGGGGTTTTTGTGCTTCAGATGGGTCCCAGCTAATGTGGACTCGGGTTTGCCAGCCCGTGAGGAAGGCTGGTGGCCAGGACCTGGGCTTATGGGGCAGAAATGCTGAAGTTTGTTTGTTTGAAGTTGCTTGTTTCCTGGACCAGAACGCTAATGCTCTTTCTTTTTTTAATTGAAGAAAAAATTCCTTTGAATTGCAGTGAAATACACAACATAAAATTTGCCATTTTAACTATTTCTAAGTATGCTGTTCAGAAGCATTACACATGTTCATATTGTTGTGGAAGTAATCTCCAGAACTTTCTCATGTTGTAAAACTGAAATTGTGCCCATTAAACAGAAGTTTCCCATACCACCGCTTCCCAGCCCCTGGCCCCCTCCACTCTGCTTTCTGCATCTATGATTTTGATTACCCTAGAATCTCATGGAAACAGAACCATACAATACTTAAGCTTTTTATGGCTGCCTTGTTTCACACAGCAGAGTGCCATCAAGGTTCATCCATGTGGTAGCACGTTGCCAAATTTCTTTTTAAGGCTCGGTAATGCTGTGTCATACGGATCTACCACTTTCTCTGTTTCCGTTCATCTCTGGGTGGGCGCAGGGATTGCTTGCACGTTTTAGCCATTGTGAATAGTTCTGTTGTGAACACGGGTGTACAGAAATCTCTTAGATACTTTGATTTCAACTCTTTTGGGTCTATACCCTCAAGCAGAACTGCTGGATTGTGTGGTAATTCTGCTTAATGCTCACCGGCTGCTGTGTTGTACGTTCCCACCAGCAGCGCAATGTTCTCACCAAGCATTGGGCGGCCATGCCCACGCTCATGATGTTCTGGTTTTGATTAGAGGCCCCGCCCCCAGTGGATGTGAGGTGGTATCTCCCAGTGCTTTTGATTTACACTTCCTTGTGGTTGGTGATGTTGAGCGTCTTTTCGTGTCTTTATTGGCCATTTGTATGTCGACTGGTGAAATGTCTGTTCAAGTCCGTTGCCCATTTTTGAATTGAGTGTCTTTCTTTACTTGTAGTTGGGTTGTAAGAGTTGTCTGTACATTCTGGATATCAATTCCTCCTCACATTCACAATTTGTAAATACTTTCCCTTATTCTGTGGGTGGTCTTTTTCACTCTGGATGGTGTCTTCTGTGCGCAAAATTTTTTTTAATTTTCATGAAGTCCGATTTACCGGTTTTCTTCTGTTGCCTGTGCTTTTAGAGCCCTAGCTAAGAAATGGTCACCAAAGCCAATGTCGTAAAACCTTCTCCCCACGCTTTCTTCTGAGAGTTCTATAGATTTAGATTTTACATGTAGGTTTCTGATCCATTTTGAATTATTTATTGTTTCTGGTGGAAGGTAAGGGTCCAACTTCATTCTTTTGGATGCAGATGACCAGTTTTCCCAGCACTGTTGAAAAAAACTACCCTTTGAATGGTCACAACATCCTAGATGAAAATCATTTAACCACCCAGTGCTCTCTTGCAGGTTTTTGTTGAAATGTGGCTTCATCATTATTCCTTGGAGATGTACCAAAAGATGCAGTCCCCTCACGCCAAGGTACGTTGCTGTGCTTTTTCGTCCTGTCTGCTCTGGCCCTGGTGTGCCTGGTCCACCTGCTGCTCCTTGTCCTTAATCTCAGCTAGTTTTCAGGGGCTTGTTTTCAGCCACCACCCCTTACTCCAGTGCTAGGCAGTAGGCAGGTTTGGTTCTGTGGTGGGCTCCCACCATGAGGGCTGGAGGCCTGTAATCTCTGGGGTCCTCCTCATGCTACTTCCAGAGCCCCCTCCCCGGCAGCCGGAATGGATGAGGTTGTGGTGCTCGTGCTCTGGGGGTGGGAGAGTCAGCGAGTGCCTCTGGGAGTCACAACTGGCTCCGTCCACTCTGCTGTCATTGTGCCTCCTGCTTTCCTGCCGAGGTGGCCCCTGGCAGACTTCGCTCCCCTTGGTCCCCACACTGCCCCCTCCCTCCTCCAGAGCAGCGGCAGGCAGCCCTCTGTGCAGTGGGTGGGATCTGACGTCTTCCTGCATGAGGCCTGGCCTGTCTCCTCCTTTCCTTCCCTTCCCTCCTAGGGCAGCATGCTCATTCGCAGAGGCGTGGAGGCAGCTGTCTTCCCAAAACCTTCCCTGGGTCACTATGCCCAGGGCCAGCTGCCCCCTGGACTTGTCAGGGTAGAACAGCTCTGTCCGTAATAAGAGGCGGCGGGGCACCAAGGGTCACACTGCACGAAAAAGCCTGAAACACACAAACCGGGGCCCTGCTGGGAACAGCACTGGCCTGTAATCAGGTGTGCAGTCCACGGCTTCTGTGCGCTGCTGGGCTGCCTCTTAGACGTCACTTTTGTCAGTGCCAGACAAAAAAAAAAACATTCTGTGTGAATGCTTGAGAGATTCCTTAAGAATTGAGAGTCTGGGCCTGAAATTCATACGGGTGGCCTGTGACCTTTCCTCTGCGAATCCAGCACGGAGCTGGAATTGTTTTCCTGCTGCGGAGTCTTGGCAACCAGCTCTGCTTCCCTGCCCTCCGCTGAGTACCGGTTTGGGGAGCAGCCCCCAACTGCTGCTCTCTTAAAGTGCAGAGTACCTCAGATCTCTGTCCTTGGCACCACATGGAACGGCGGCAAAGCCAGGACTCCCTCTTGGGCCTCTCGCGTCCCCGAGGACCTGCACTGCCAGAGTGGACTTGCATGTTCCTGGCTGGTGCATGGCAGTTGGGAGGGTGGGGGCTTCCCCCTCAGGTCCCAAGGGCCTTACTTAGGCCCTGTGCATGTGGCTTGGTCTTGCAGAGGCAGAGGCTGCTTTGCTGCTTGCCTTCCGGGCTGCTCATTCTGTCTTCCGAGCTAGCGCAGCACACTCACTGTGATTTTTAGCAGATCTGCCAGTCACAAAAGTTCTCTAAGCTGTCTTACTTGGGAGGAGTGGTGGGCCGTACCTGCTGGGGCAGGAGGGCCTTCCCCTTCTTCCCCACGTTTGCTTCCTCTTGGCCAGACCACAGGGCAGGTGAGAGCGGCCCAGAATGGCTGGTAATGGGGGAACAACCAGGAAACCCCCACCAGGTACCCGGAGAGGGTTTGTGTTTTTTTTATCGTTTGTTTGGGGTTCTTTGCCTCCTTTTGAGGCTGAACACAAAACCTGAGTAAACCCGGGAAGTGGAGAAAGAAAACTGTCGACATCTCCTTCATCCGAGGCTCCTTATCATCTACCCAGGCCTGTGCTGTGCCATGTGGAGTCCTAGCCTTGAGGTCCCTGTTTGCTGACGTTGGAGATGCAAGAAGTGCAGCTCCGAGAGGTCCCGTGGTGCTTCCAGCCCACCTCCTCCCAGGTGACAGGCAGCCTGGGTCCAGAGTGGATGCCCACTCTATAGAGCCTGGGCCTCTGCCCCACCCCAGCTTACTGAGCAGGGCTTCTGGAGAAGCAGATGGTTGCTGAAGTCCACACACTTCTACAGGCCACTGCGGGGCCTGCCCGGTGTTCCTTAGGCTGGGCAGGTCCCCAGCAGGGGAACCATGTGGTCTCTGATTCCTACCGAGCTGCGGCTGAGCCCAGGGTCTGGCCCAGAGGAAGGCCTTGAAGCACAGCCCACTCCTTGCTGTGCTCCTTCCTGCCCTTGCTCTGCGTGTCTCTGGCTGCGCCTTTCTCCTCAAGGCCTGGCACCCACATTCTGGCTTCTCCTCTGTGTAGCATGGTTCTCAGTAGGAGGCGTGGCCCTCACCGGGCAGGATGTATGCCAAGGCCGGCTCTGAACTCTGCTTGGCTGAAGGGGACTGCTTTAGCAGGCCTTGTCATTATGGGGGTGGGGGCGGACAGCTATGCCAATTCAGCTGTCATCCCCCATGTCCCAGGCTGTCCCAGCCTCGGGTTCCAGCTGCCTCTGGGTGTGTGTGGCCATGGCCAGCTTCTTAGGGCCCGTTGGGGCTGGTGAAGGGCTCTGTGAGTCCAGAGTTGGGGAGTCCTGGTAAGGTGGGAGAGATGGGTCTCCCAGAATTTGAACCCATGAGTGCCACCTTTAATGATTTCCGGGATGTGGGGTGCAGAGGGTGTCAGGCCTGGTGGGCTGAGCTTTGCTTGCTTCTGTGCCACACTGGTAATCATCCCCCACGGAGACAACCATTCAGGAGGGGCCACAGATTAGATCTTTGACTCCTAGGAACTGACCACATCATGTGTCAATTTGGTAAATTTTTCTCTGGGACAACCCAGGGAAGTCCAATAAATGACATTTTTCTTCCCTGAGCAGAAGGGTCTCCATTAGGAACAGGCTCCTCAAAAGTTTCTTTTTGGAGCCTCGGGGCCTTCAGGGCTTTGGTGGCTGGTGGTGTGTCCCAGCAAGCCTCCCAGGATCCTGGCGGGGTGCAGAGTTCACACACCGCAGCCATGGGAGTCCGGTCAGGGAGGGCAGGCCCCTCTGGCAGGAAAGTCAGGCTGACCTCAGGGAGCTAGAAGGACTTTCAGGCCCGGTGACTTGGAGGAGACTGCCCAAGTGTCCTTAAGCGTCCGTCTGTCTATGCCCGGCAGGTGGAGGAGCAGCCCTCGGGCCTGGCTCTGGGCTGCCCACTGGGCAGGACCCCTTTGGGCTGCTGAGAGGGTGGTGTCCCACTGCCTGAGGCTGCGGGGCTCTGATGGTGTGGATTGTCACTGATGTGCTTTTGTTTTGTTTTTGTTTTTTGTTTTCTCTCCTTAAACTTCTGGGCTCACTTTTGTCTTTCTCTCCCTACTGTCCCCTCCCCGATCTCTCCCCTCCTGTCCCCTGCCCTGCCCTCCGCCCTCCCTGCCTCTTCTCTGGCTTCTCTGCTTTGTTGTCTCTCAGCTGGAGGTTCTGCACTACCGACTCAGTGTCTCCAGCGCCCTCCACAGCCCTGCCCAACCCAGCCTCCAGGCCCTTCACGCCTACCAAGTACTGGCTGCTCTCCTATTGTTGCGTTTCACCCCTGCCCTGTGGTGTGAGCCATGGAGCGCATGACAGTGCAGTGGTAAAGCGAGGGGCCGGCAGGGGTGACTCAGACCAGTTCCAAACCGAGCCAGGCCCGTGTGTGTTGGGGATCGTGGCGAGTGTCCTCTCTAGCCTGCGTTGGCCCTCCACTTGGCAAACTAGTGCAGGTTTGGGGGGGTGGAGCTGCCAGATCTGCCCACCCAAGCCCCAAGCCAACCAGAGTTTGCAAGCTCTTGGGAGTTGGTGGCTTCTCTGGCCCTGGTTGGAGGGAGTGGAAACAATGTGGCCTTTGCAGCGGCCCTCCTCACCCACAGTGTGGGCCTGGCGCTCAGGAACTGACTGAGCACAGGGAGGCCCCAGGGCTCATAGTGGCATGGTTCGGCCAAACCCAAGCCTTTGTGAGCCAAGGTGCGGGGAGGACAAGGGCTCGCCCCCCCAGCCTGGAGAGGCTGTCGATCCCTAAGCACACTTGGCTCTGGCCTCTTGTGGACTTGTGCGCACTGCCAGAGGTGGGCGGAGTGGACAAGAGCCTCCTGGAGACGGGTCTGCTTTAGGCAGAGATGACCAGTGTGGGCAGATTTGAGGTTGGTAGGTGGAATTCAGGCTGTTTCTGGGCTGATGGAGGCTGGTAGCTCACTGATTCATGAGATGAAGGCCAGGAATTCTGGGCAGAAAACAGGTGTCTAGATCGATGCTCAAGGCCAGGGGTCTGTCCAGTTCCCCTCGGTGGGAGCACGCCATAATACTTAACCTGATACTTGAGTACAAGATGAGAAATCAGGTTTCCTGGGATGCGGTGGTGAGCACACACAGGGTCCCCGCCCAGAAGCAGCAGCTGCTGGGTGGAAGGAAGAACATGGCCCAGGAAGGCCGGCAGAGGTGGGCCAAGCACCGAAGCGGGTAGCGCTCAGGCCTATGTCAGGGAAGGTCTCACTCGGCTAACAGCAGGATCCCTGGAGAAATGTCCATAGCAGGAGGGGCTGCTTAGCTAAGGGCTGGGCCCAGTGAGAAATGCCACAGGCTTTGGGACAGTGTCCCTGAAGGACACGCAGCTGGAGGAGGCCACATACAGCTGTAGCAAGGTTCCTATGGGGAGTTGGCTCTTGACCAGGGGAGGGGAGGTGGGAAGAAAGGTTTGGCTTCCCCCAGCAGGAAGATAGCCCAAGGGGCTTCCAGTGCAGTGGTAAGGGCCTGTGCGGAGGAGGAGGGGACACAGTTCTGGTTCAACGCAGATGCTCTGTTCTCTGTTACGGAGACAGTGGCGGGGTTGGCAAGGGACCAGGAATGAGAAAGGCGGGGACTCCTGGGGAGGGGGCTCCAGCCTGGCATCAGCGCCTTCCTACTTTCATCATTAGGAAAGTATCTTACGCTTTTTTCTTCAAGAGATGCAAATTCATCACACAAAGATGTAAACATAAAGAGAAGTAGCAGCAGGTCTCCTCCCGAAGGCCCGTAGCTCCCTGTGTGGGTGAACTGAGTTGTGGGCCGCGTTGCCTGGGCTCGTGCAGGCAGATCCGTGGCAGGGAGAGCTGAGAGGACAGTGCCATGAGCAGCGGCGGTGGCTGGGTGCCCGGGCTATGCCAGGAGGCATGGCCTCTGCCAGCCGCAGCATTGCTCAGGATTGGGACTAGGCTTGCGAAAGCTCGTCCATCCAGTCTGTGGAGGCCCCAGGGGCCTGGGGGTGCTGAGTGCGGGCAGAGGAGCGTGCCTGTCTGGGCGCCCCAGAGCTGGGAGCAGGCAGGTGGCGGGGCCCGCTGGTGCTGTCCTCTACCAGTCAGAAGACCACCCTGTTCTCCGTCACGGAACAGCCAACAGGCAGCCTGTCTTCTCAGGCCTGAGTCTTAAAGAGCCTACGTGAACTTGGGAATTGGAGCCTCAGCCCACAAGATCAAGAGTGCTCTTGTCTTGGGGGTCATGCTGACCACAGATCCGTCAGCAATAGAAGGGCTGCCCTGTCCTAGCCCCCAGCTGGCGGGTCCAGGACAGGGAGTGGATGAAAGGGTGGGGGTTGCAGCAGCAGAAGGAACTGGGTAGTGTTTCTGCCTGAAATGGGAAGCCAGGGGCCCCAGGGAGCCGTCTGCACACACCCAGGAGGCCGGCGGGAGACCCCTCTAGATCTGATGGGGGGGATGTCAGCCTGCCTTGCCCCTGCTGTTCCTCCTCGGGCTGGCCAGGAGGGGATCCCTGAGGATGGGGGTGGGCAGCAGTGACCCAAGTCAGCCACGGAGGTTACAGTAAGGGGTTCGAAGCCCACAGCAAAGCCCTTGACAGGTGTGTTTCCGCTCCCCGTGCAGGCTTACTGAGCCACAGGCTATGTCATCTGGGCCTGTGGGTGCCCTGTGCAGGCTATGGTGCTCTCAGTGGGCCTCAGGGCCAGCCAGTAAGGCACAGGGAGGGCCCGGGGGGTGGCCCATGTGTCCCATGATGGAAGAAACGGTTCTGGCCTGACTCCTGACACCGCACCCCCCTCAATGTTAGGAGTCATTCACGCCCACCGAGGAGCACGTGCTGGTGGTGCGCCTGCTGCTCAAACACCTGCACGCCTTCTCCAACAGCCTGAAGCCCGAGCAGGTCTCTCCGTCCACCCACTCCCATGCCACCAGCCCCCTGGAGGAGTTCAAACGGTGGGTATGGGCCGTGCACGCGGCTCCCGCACCCCGGCTACCACTGCCTCATCCCTTAACACACGTTGCCCACTGTGACCTGTCTCTGGAGCCTGAGGGACAGCCTGCAAGGCATCTGCAGGGTGGGCCAGGTGGGAAAGCACCTTGGGGTTTTCTCCCCACCCCGATTCGGGCCTCTCCTTTGGGGCCTAACGTCTTTGTTCAAAAGAGCTGGACTGCCCAGAGAAAGGCCCTGTCTTGTTGCTGCCCGGTCTTGTCCCGTCCTTCCTGGCAGTGGGCAGAGTGGGAGCTCAACAGTGACCGTGTTCCTCGGAATGCCCAGGAAAGCCAGTGGGCTGGGAGCCTCTTCGCTTCCGTGGCTCTTTGGTCACTGGAGACTGAGCTCTGTGCTGCGCCACCCCCTTCATCATCTTCTCTGCTCCTCTCCCTCCATCAGAAAGCCAGGGTTGGTGGCCCGATTCCTAGGCTGACTGGGGCCAGCCCAGCAGGTGACTTGTATGTGGTGAGCGAAGCAGAGGGGTTCACGGGAGCCTCAGTAGGTCATCCACGTGTGTGCTGTGTGTCCTTGGGACATTACCTAACCTCTCTGAACTTTGTTTTTTTCTGAAAAATGGGGCCAGAAACTGGAGGCCTTACCTCCAGGGGGTGCCCACTGCTCACCCTTGGCAGGACTGGCCCTTGCAAAACAGAGCCACTGGACTCCCCTGTGAGGGTCCCCTCCCCCCTCCTCTCCCCTGCAGGGCTGCTGTCCCAAGGTTTGTGCAACAGAAGCTCTACCTCTTCCTGCAGCACTGCTTCGGCCACTGGCCCCTGGATGCATCATTCAGAGCCGTGAGTGTCAGCCCCATCTCTCCACCTTTGCCCTTGCCCTGTGTGTGCCTGGTAGCGGAGGTCCCTGTGGGGTGGATGCAGGAGGGAGTCAGCTGTTACTGCCAAGGCCTGGTGAGGAAGCCTTACGGGGGAGGGGGGGTATCACATTCTGGTTGTTTGAATTCCCAAAACCAGCTCTCGGGTACAGAAAAGTTCTGTCCTCCCTGGCTCTGACCCCAGGTGTCTGTGGTGGGTGTGTTCCCAGCCTCACTGAGCTGCACCTAACCCACTTGGCTGGGGAAGCGTTCCATGTTCCGTGCCTCCGGAAGGCTGGCAGAAGGGCTCAGCATCACAGGGGTTGGCGCTAACGTAGTGTTGTGTGTCAGCTATGTGCACATTAAAAAAGTGTTCTAACAAAATAAGAATTAAAAAAATAAAGCTCACGGGAGGGTGTGCAGAGCTCCCTCCTGGGCCCTCTGAGGGTGGTAGGTAGGTGGGAAGAGGCCAGAACCTGGTGGCCGCCCCACCCTCCTCTCACCAGGAACCGAAGCCCCACGGTTAGACTCCCTCCTGCTCACCCACGCTGCCTCCCCGGGGCTGGGCTCCAGGCCACCTGAGGATTTGGCCCAAAGCCCCAGACCCACAGCCTACCAGATTGCCGGCCACGAGGCCCTCAGCACATGAATGTGTTGCCAGGTCCTGGAGATGTGGCTGAGCTACCTGCAGCCCTGGAGGTACGCACCCGAGAAGCCGGCTCCGAGCAGCGACTGCCAGCCCCGGGCTGTGTCAGAGAGATGGTGAGCCCCGGCCCACCGTGCTCCCAGTGCTGGGGGGACAGGCCACCCCCTCTTTGGGCCCCGGGATTGCTGTCCCCCGGAAACAGCTGGTGGCCCTTCTCCATGCTGTCCCCTTGCTGCTCTCCACTCACATGTGTGGTCGCACCCCATGCCGCCGCTTGACCCCCTCCACCCTCTGTGCCCTGCCACAGAGCCCTTGTCTTCTGAGGAAGGGCCTCACCCTGTGCGGGACTGTGTCCGCAGGAGGCCTGGTTCTCCCCCACCTCCCTTGGCCCTCACCCACCTGGAGGCTGTGGCTGGGGAGAGTTGAGAAGCCCGGGAAGAGCCCGGGTTGGGGGGTTCAGTAGTGGCGTAGCCGCTGATGCACCGCCTCGCTCCCCAGGGCGCCCTTTGTGCAGGAGAACCTGCTTATGTACACCAAGCTCTTCGTGGGCTTCCTGAGCCGTGCGCTCCGCACCGACCTGGTCAGCCCCAAGAATGCACTCATGGTGTTCCGAGTGGCCAAAGTCTTTGCCCAGCCCAACCTGGCTGAGATGATCCAAAAAGGTAAGCCCTTAGCCAGCAGGAAGCAGCCCTCAGAAAGGGAACCACAGAGACTGCATGGGCCTCGCCGGCTTAGAGCAGCTCAGCCTCGGTGGCGTGGGGGCTCTGGGTGCACGGTGACGGGGTACAGGTCGGAGGTGGGCTGCACTGTGCCTTCCCTGAGGCCCAGCATGCTAGGTGGGAGCTGGGGGGCCGCTGGAAGGAGTGGAGGCAGAGTTCAGGGTATCAGAAAGCAGTCTGGGGTCCTGTCACGTCTCAGATGGCTCTGTCGGGCATTAGCTTCTCTGGCTTTCCTTCGTGAACATCAGCCTTCCCGTGGAGACTGTCAGGCTGCAGGGGCCTCAGGAGGTGGGCCCCCGTCCCTCAGGAACCTCCCTAGGCACCATGGAAGCTGCATCCGGACTGGCATCATGCTTTCCAGGGGAGCAGTTGTTCCTGGAGCCTGAGCTCGTCATCCCACACCGCCAGCACCGACTCTTCACAGCGCCCCCCTTTACGGGCAGCTTCCTGTCCTCGTGGCCACCGGCTGTCACTGACACCTCCTTCAAGGTGAAGAGCCACGTCTACAGCCTCGAGGGCCAGGACTGCAAGTACACCCCGATGTTTGGGCCTGAGGTCCGGACGCTGGTGAGTTGGGGTTCCCCTGGGCCCCCCAGCTGTCCAGAAGCTGTGGGAGCGGGGGCTGGGGCAGGCAGAAGGTTGGATATTGCCTGGATGCGGCTCTCCTCCTGCCCTTCTTTTCCATCGAGGTCTGATTTTTTTCTGATAATAAAGACAACATATGTTGGAAAGCTTTCACATTTAGAATGTGCATGTTTTGGTCTTGAAAACTCCTCGCCCCCTCGTGGCCTGGTGGGGGCTCCCCCAGGGCTGCCTGCCAGCCTCTTGGGGGCCACCTGGGCTGGCTGACCTGCCCCCCCGCCCCCCTGCCCTGTGCCCCACAGGTCCTACGCCTGGCTCAGCTCATCACGCAGGCCAAGCAGACCGCCAAGTCCATCTCTGACCAGTGTGGGGAGAGCACACCCGGCCGCCCCTTCCTGTCGTGGCTGGGCTTCTACTCCCCAGATACGAACGGATGCTACCCAGCCAACGACCTGGACGAGATGGGGCAAGACAGCGTCCGCAAGACGGACGAGTACCTAGAGAAGGCCCTGGAGTACCTGTGCCAGATGTTCCGAGTACGAGCTCTGGGGGCTGTCCCCTGCCTGGTGTCTGCTCCTGTGCCCCTACCCCCTGGGGGAGCCCGCGGGAGGCATAGCCTATACTGCGATGTCAAGTCTTCGTCCCCTTGTACTCGCTGTTCGAGGCCCAGGGGTGTAGCCCTGTCTGCTTCCTCCACCCGGGAAGTGAAAGCAGGATGTGGCACAGCCCCCTCAGAGTGCTCCTCACCCCCCCCCACCCCCGCTGCCCCGACAGCTCAGCGAGGCCCAGCTCGCCCAGCTCACGCTCGCCCTGGGTACGACGCAAGATGAGAACGGGAAGAAGCAGCTCCCAGACTGCATCGTGGGAGAGGATGGGCTCATCCTTACGGCCCTGGGCCGCTACCAGGTAAGGGCCATGTCCCGGACGGCTCCTCCCCATTCCCTCGTTGCCTCTGTCATGTCCCCATGGGTGCGCGTCTGCAGGCCTGCCCACTCAGCCCGGGTCTTCCCTTGGGCTTACTTCTCATCCTGCTTCTAGATCATCAATGGGCTGCGGAGGTTCGACATCGAGTACCAGGGGGACTTGGAGCTGCAGCCCATCCGGAGCTACGAGATCGCCAGCCTGGTCCGCATGCTCTTCCGCCTGTCATCCGCCATCAACCAGAGGGTGAGTGCCAGGGGCAGGGCCGCCCACGGGGAGAGGCCGGCTGAGTGCGTGGCCCTGCCCGCGCCAATTCCCCATGTCTCTGTCCATCCCCAGTTTGCAGGCCGGATGGCAGCCCTGTGCGCCCGGGCCGACTTCCTTGGCAGCTTTTGCCGCTACCACCTCACAGAGCCCGGGCCGGCGGGCAGGCGCCTGCTGAGCCCTGTGGCGCGGGGCTCTGCAGCCAGCCGGGCCCGGGGTCCGAGGCTCAGCCTGCGCTTCCTGGGCAGCTACCGGACGCTGCTGTCGCTGCTTCTAGCTTTCTTCGTGGCCTCCCTGTTCTGCGTTGGGCCCCTGACCTGTGCCCTGCTCCTCGTGCTGGGCTACCTCCTCTACGCTGTGGCCATGACGCTGCTCACTGAGCGAAGCAAGCTGCACCAGCTCTGACCTCAGGCCACACACGACCCTGGCTAGGCCGGCAGGAGCCCCTCGCTTGAGCCTGGAGGTCACCTCCAAGCAACAGGGCGTTTTCCCGCAGCCACGGAGCCGTGCGTAAGAGAAGCTAAAACAAGGAGGGTGTGGTCCAGGCCAAGCGAGGACGAGCGTGGCATCCACTGGCCTGTTAGTCTCACAGGACAGCCCCGGACCCGGCTGCTCGATCCTCCCTGCTCCCCTCAGCCCCGGGCCCTGCCGTGACACGGCACTCGCGGCCTTCCTCTGCTCTGACCATCCTGGTTTGAGCTGTGTGAAGCTTGGAAGGCAGTGCTCCCCGGATGGGGCCTCGCCATCTGTCAGGTTGGCAGGGTGGTGCGAGTCTCCTTTCCCTGGTGACAGCGGGACGGGAGCTCAGCCTCTGATTCCGGAGAAGAATCCCAAACCCTGGAGGCTCCTGAGAAAGTCAGAGGGTGGTTCTGGTTCCTGACTGTAAAGCAAGGTTCTCCCATCGCATTTGGCAAAGTGAGGGTCATTCTTCACACCTTCCCGGCAGTTCCAAGGCTGGGCCATACGATTCCACTTGGTAGGAGAAAAGACCCTCCAGGAGAACAGATGCTTAGTGGGACGGACCTTCACCTCTGCCTCCCTCTTCGCCCCCGTGCCATTAAGCATGTCACTTGGTGGTGGCCCAGCCTCACTGCCCAGCCGGGACGGGCACTCATGTCCCAGGGGCAGAGAGGATGCAGCAGGGCCATGGGAGCGGGCAGCGTCTGGTCTGCAACCAAAGATGGTCACAGGCATTATTTGTATCTTCATTAAAATCAGGTACAAAGGCCCTAACTTTTTTATGACATTTAAATGTTCAACCACACATTCACGGTCAGCAGTCATCCCCACAGGGACTCAGGCACTTTTGTCATCATACGGGTGACACACCAGAGAAAATATCTCAACAGTGATTTTAAACCAAGCCTCTGTTTCTGTTTTTATTTAAATATCAAGTTTTATATTTTGATGTAAATTCAGAATAATGGCATTCTGGGGCCTGTGACCAAAAATCAGACCAAGTTTGTAACTGACCATAGATCTGAATAAAACTTCTTTGGGCTCCTGAGTCTTCTGGTGCTGGGGCTCAGGTCCCAGCACAGTCGCCCTTACGGTTCCTTCAGTTGGTTTGGGGATGTCAGCGACCTGGGAAGCCCCGCAGTCCCTACCCAGGGGGACAGCCAGTGGGTTTGTTTACAGCAGCAACACACCAAGGCAGATGGAAACAGTGAGGTGGCCATGATGACAAACAGCAGGCTTCCCAGAGTGCTGACTCCCTGGAGTTGCCCTCAGCCAGCACAGGCCCGGGCTGGGTCAAAGCTGGGAGAATTTTGTCTTCCATTCAGCATATCAGAGTTGGCCTGGATACGAAAAGCAATCCTGGAACGTGAGTCAAATTTTCTATGGCTTCCGGAAGCTCAGAGGATTGTGTATGCCCCCACCAGCCTCGTTTGAGGTACTTAGCCAAGTACTTAGAGTGTCCCATGTCCCCTTGTCCCTGGATGGGATAGTTGCTTTTGTCAGATTGGTGGAAATGAGAGGTCATCATTTCTATAAGTTCAGTGGTAACAGAGGAGTGGCTTTTGTCCCCAGACCTGTTAAGGGATGTGAGCACATAAAGATGATGGTCTGGGGTCCAATGTCAGTGGCACCGTCTGACCACAAGGCCTTCCCTGTTTCCCATGACATCCACCCTGCCACCAGGGATGGGGTGTCCCCCTCACCCTCCACCTTTCCGTGGCTTCCCTCGTCCACGTTTCTCTTGTGCCTTGTTTCCACCTGAAAATATTCTCCAGCACCCTAAAAGCAAAAATGGAACACCACCCATGTATCCATGAACTCCAAAACAGCCGCCTGCTGTGTGCACCCTGCACAGTGCTGGGCACCCAGAAGGGACAGGGCAGAACTCCTGTTGGCCCAGGACTTTGTGGTGCAATCCAGCAGCCATAATGAAGGTCAAGGAGGGGCTAGTTCCTGTGGTCAGGGCCTGGGAGAGGATGCCCAGAGAGCAGGCAGCGTGAGGTCAGCATGGCCCACAGTGTTCTGTGGTTCCCGCCGCAGGAGCAGAGCCCATGGCTGGGTGGCTGCTGTTCCAGGTCAAGGCAAAGGAGACCTTGCCTTCACGAGGACCCCAAGTTTGTTTGCAAAGAGCTCTCACTGTGCAGTTTGAGAAAAGGCTGTGGGACGAGTAGAGGCTGGAAGCACAGCTGGGGGAATGGGGGCCACCAGGGTGGGGGGGCAGTGGTTCTGTCTGCAGCACAGGGAAAGGGTAAATGACACCTGAGGGCAGAGGCTACAGGGTCTAGATCGGGGGTCAGACATCATGGTTCCTGCCACCCATTCACTCCTGCCTCCTGGAGCCTCACCTGCTAAATGGCCCTTGCCATCCCTGCTCACCCCTCCACCCCCACTGCCGCCAGAGGGCCAAACAGACATCTCAGTCCGCATGGCCTGGGCCACCAGCAGGCCCAGGCCATGCAGTCTGAGGTGTCTGTTTGGCCCTCTGGCGGCAGTGGGTGCAGGAAGCACAGCTGCGTGATGCTCTAGAGATTTCACTTGCCCTCCTGCGCCTCTGAGACAAAACCAGCCCCTCTGGACATGGTTCCCAGGAGCCCATGCTGACCCCACTGCCTTTTGACACCAAATCCATCAGAGCCCGAGGCTTCAGCCAGCCCCACCCCTGACCCCAGGTGCCCCAGGTGGTTCAGACTCTCGTTGCTCAGTGTGAATGACCCAAGGACAGAAGCTCTGGATCTGGGAGGAATCCAGTACTTACTCCCTTTGGATGACCAGGCTTCGGTGATAATTCGACAATATCAATAGAAATGAGGGGACTCCTGTAGCTTTCACTTTAAAAATTGAGTTAGCTTTGTCTGCCTCTGAAAACCAGAATTCCTAGCATAATTTTCTCAAACATCTAGTGACCAAAATAGATCAAATGATTTCCCAATCTCTCCCTCTTAAGAATTCCGACTTTTTCCCAACTGATATTCCAGCTATGAGAACAGCCAGTGACTTTAATATCCATGTGAGCTGCAACTGCTTTTTTAAAAAGATTTGATTTATTGAGAGAGAAAGCACAGATGTACACAAGCGGGGGGAGGGCAGAGGGAAAAGCAGACTCCCTGCTGGGCAGGGAGCCCCACATGGGGCTAAATCCCAGGACCCTGAGATCATGACCTGACTTGGGCACCTAGGCAACCCTGCCTCTTTTTTTTTTTTTTTAAGGTTTATTTATTTTAAAGCAGGGGATAGGGGCAGGGAGAGGGAGAGAGTCTCAAGCAGACTCCGTGCTGAGTGTGGAGCCTGACAAGGGGCTCCATCTCACAACTGTGAGATCATGGCCTGAGCCAAAGCCAAGAGTCAGACACAACCTACTGAGCCACCCAGGCACCCCCGTGAGTCACTACTGCCTTAGAAGTCAGAAGGAGGCAAAGAAGCCAGAGAAAGGAGCAAATGCCTTCCAGCCATCGTAAAAGGCTGGCACTTGGGAGAGCTAAGGGCTTACCGCACTCAGAACAAATGGGCAGTGGGGGAAGGTGAAGGTCAGTCAACTGGACAACTGCTTTCAGTTTCTCTTTTGGGTCATCTCACCATTACCCATTTGCAGCTGCCTTCCTTCAGCCAGCTGTGTTCACCTCTCGGAGAGCAGCCTCTTTAGGGAGAATCGGACCCGGGAGACCTGCCACTTGGCACCCATGCCCCCCCCGAGTGCCAACATGGCATTTCCCGGTGTGTACTCAAAGCACAGGTGAAAAGCTCCTAAACCTTCCGGAGCACTGTGGACTTCCCACAGCGGACACGGGCATCTTGTGTTTGATAGAACATGACCTGGGAGGCTCTGACTTGGTGCATCTGACAACTCTTCTTTTAGGGGTCTATGTGCCAGGCCACATAGACTTTACGCAGTAAAGTGGGTGAAGAGAGCCTTCTGCCTGGGTTGGCTCCAGACAGCCGGGCACTCACTTCCTGCACCCTACCTTTCCGGGTAGGAGGACTGACTGCTGTGTTCACACCACACAGCGTGGTGCCCCCGGCTGAGGTGGACGGTCTGCTCCTCAGGCCAGGTCTCTGAGGGTTTGCTTGGTCCACATCCTTCCTCAGCCAGCTGACTCCCTCCCTTCCCGGAAGGCCATCAGTCATCGCTTCCTCTAGGAAACCTTGCCTTGCCTCCACCTCCCCTCCTCCTGGGCTGGATTTTGTGCCCTCCTTGGTACTCATCACCACCATTGGGCAAATGAAAGTGAAGAGGGATTTAGTTACCACATGCTTGGTGCCGGACATTTCAGAGTGCTGAATAAATACTTCTAAATGAATCTCTGGCTAGCATGTTTGCTCCTTGCAGACGAGTATATTTTACTCATCTTTCTGGCTCCAGCTCCACGTGCGTACACAGCAGCTGCCCAATAAATACGTCTCACAAATACTATACCTATTTTTTTGAGGGGGAGGGGGAGGGGCAGAGGCAGAGGAAGAGAGACTCTTAAGCAGGTTCCACGCGCAGCATGGAGCTCAATCTCTCAAATCTCAGATCATGACCTGAGCCAGAATCAGGAGTCGGATGTTTCACCAAATGAGCCATCCAGGGGCCCCCAGCAAATACTATACCTATTATATACACATCCAGCCCCTAACACCTCAGGAATCACAATGTAAATGACTTGGATGAATTCATTTCTACATGAGTAGAAAAGTTGGGAGGGAAGGGGCTCTTCAGTCCAAGGTTGAACAGAAATCACTGGGAAAAACATGATCACTGCCCTGAAAGAGACCTGACCGATCGTTCAGATCATAGACCCAGATAGAAGACCTAAAATTATAAAGCTGTTAGGAGAAAACAGAGAAGTAAATCTTCACAGCTTTGTATTAGTCAATAGTATTTTAGTTATGGCACCAAAAGTATAAATGCCAGAAGAAAAAAATACATAAATGGATTTTATCAAAATTTAAAAATTTTATACTGACAAAATGACATTTTCAAAGTGAAAAGACAACCTCC